AAAATAACAATCAGTAAAATAAATAGCAAATAGATATTTAATTATTAATATTACATTGTTTACCAAATTTCCAGAGTTTACAGGATCTCTTGTGAAGAGAAATTTTACCAAATATTGCTGGCAAATGGAAGAAGCCGCAGCAAATATAACGAGGACTACTTTGGAGGAATTGAAAGAAACTCGCGAACAAATAAGAACACGTAGAGATCGTTTTGAAAAAAAAATCAAACTAATTAATAACGATGGCAGCTCGGATCTTCGTAACCAGACGTCCAACCAACGCGCGAATTATGCAATCGGATTTGACACCCGCTGCACGGCGCGGTCGTCTTCCACTTCAGTTACTGGAACCACAGCCGTCACAACCAATTCAAAAGAGCCGTCTTGTGTGGTTTATGAAAAACTTATATTGGATTATTTTGCGAACAATCTACACTGCGACAACTCGTTCCCAATAGATTCCTATGGTATACTAAAAAGGTAATTTCATTGTAAGAAAGTTTTAATATTTTTTCTCGGAATTAACTTTTTAAACCAATTTAAGGCTCGCATCCTGGCAAGTCAAGCACTACATTCCATTTACACAGACTTCTCTAAATAATCTTGAATCGGCACTCAAAATATTGTCAACTACGTGGGGACCAAGTTTTATATCAATCAAGGACAATAAATTGAGTGAAAAGAAAAGATTAATAGTAGAAGAAGTCGACTTTACCAAGTTAAACATGATCAAAGTGATCGAAAGGTCAGGCAATAGAATGATGTTATTCGGTGACAATTTTATTGAATTCTAGTAAGGAAAAAAATAAGGGTTTACTGGTCAATAACAAAATAATATTGCAGTTCTTTGGATTTAGAGAAAGCTTCTCTCGAAAAAGTATTGTTATCATCTACATCAACAGTAAATAATAGAAAAAGGCGTAAGATTGAAGATACACATGAAGAAGATTCTGGTATTAAGTTACACCCTTTTTGAATTGAGAATTTTTTACGTTCAGTGAGCATTTATAATTTCAGTAATAATAATCATTATATGGCAGCTGTAAAACAAATCAACGAACTTCTGTCTAAACCAACATTTAACGAATCACAAGAAACGGCCTTGTTACATAAAATGAGTATAATGCTAAATAAAAAATCGGCACAAGACAAGCTCATAATAGATATGGTAAATAATAAGAAATTTTAAGGCTCGGTTGTGAATAATTCGAGAAATTGAGAACGGGATTCATTTTCAAAATTATTTTACGGTATTAGTTTCGATCAACAAATAACTCATTCAGGGAATTCTGTGTGCATGGAACTAAATCCGATTGTTGTAAGATCAGAAAAGCGTCCAGAGCATGCAAGAAGGTTAGTTGAATATTTGAGCATTAGACTTGAAATGAGCAGTTGTATTTATACTAGATCATTTATGTTCATTGTAGCTTCATTTTAGACCAATGATTCGACCTCATACAGAACTGGAATTGGGCGATTGCTCTTATTTGAACACTTGTCATCGTATGGATACATGTAAATATGTACATTATGAACTAGATGATGAAGAAGAAAAATGGACATATATTCAACGAAAATCAATTCCACCTGGCGTGGTAAATTATATTCTAAATACTTTTCATAATCAGTTTATTAATTATGATCACTAACTTAATACTAACATATATTGAAGGTATTCATTCCACCAACAAAAGTGGTGAGTAACACTCTATCACTTATATATTAATTTCATAATTCCAAGAACCTGATTGATCAAACTATATAAATTTACGTTTCCAAGCTTCCTCCTCAATGGATCAATTGTGATGTAAGAAAATTTGATTTTTCAATTCTTGGAAAATTCACTGTAATTATGGCCGATCCGCCATGGGATATTCATATGACAGTAAGATATTGTAAATATTATTTTTCAATCAATGTATAAGGATCTATTATTCTAACGATTTTATAGCTTCCCTATGGTACCATGACCGACGATGAGATGAAAGCAATGGCGATATCCGATTTGCAAGACGAGGGATTGCTATTTTTGTGGGTCACCGGAAGAGCCATGGAATTAGGACGAGAATGCTTGACTATTTGGGGGTATGGAATATAAATGGTTTAAATTTCTTAGTAACATATTCTTAATCTGATCAATGACACTTTTGTTCTTTACAGATACCAGCGTGCTGATGAACTTGTTTGGATTAAAACAAATCAATTACAGAGGCTTATTCGAACAGGGCGTACTGGTCATTGGTTAAATCACAGCAAAGAGCATTGTCTTGTGGGAATTAAAGGTAATCCGGCAGATCTAAATAGAGGTTTGGATTGTGATGTTTTGGTTGGAGAAGTATGGTCTTTTACCTCTGTATTGTTTTTTTATTATCATATTTATGAGTTTACGTAAAACCTTTATTCATTTAAAGGTAAGAGAGACTAGTCGAAAACCGGATGAAATATATGGAATAATCGATCGATTGGTTCCTGGCACACGGAAGCTAGGTATGCTTAAATACTTTAGAGGTTTATTGTTTAAAAGAACGTCATTTACACAATTGTTCTAAATTTATAGAAATCTTTGGTCGTAAACACAACACCCGACCTGGATGGATGACTCTTGGGAATCAATTGGAGGACGTGCGATTATATGAACCCGAATTGGTCGCTCGCTTCAATGAACGATATCCTGATGAACCTTGTGAATTAACACAACTACCTGAAGATTGGTAGTTTAATCAATATTTCCCCGTACCATTTATTAACATTGCAATAAAATAATATACTTGAGTGTTTCAACTGATAAGAAATCTTATTTTGAACCGCTTTACTCTTTTGGAACCTTATTTCGAAAAAAAAACTACTATTACAATTACGTACATTTCGCGATCGCGCGTTATTTATTTATTTATTTATTTATTTGTTTGTTTGTTTTATTTTATTTAGTTATATTCGATCTTTCAAATTTTTTGGATTGGTTAATATCCTATGTTTCATATATACCATATCAACTACAAATTGGTTTACAGGTGTAGGTATTCCATAGAATTTTCCCAATCTTACCAAATAACCGTTCAAATAATCGATTTCCGTTACATTACGCTTTATAACATCTTGCAACATTGTAGACTTATAGTTCATTGTAGATTTGCATATCTGTTGTACTGCATCGACTATCCTGTTTGGTCCAAATCTATTCGAAGGTCTCATTCCTAAAAACTCACGATGTCTTTGCATAACTTGAGACGATTCTTGGCATATTGCTTGCATGACTCGATCTGCTCCAGGATTAAATAGTAATCCACCATTACGAATACTGAAAATTGTTGTAAGTGGATTAATACAAGCATTAATTACCAAATTTTCCAATAGTCGATTCTGAATGCTCAACACATTGATGTGTCGACAATGTAATTCCGGAATATTGGTTAAAGCCTCTAACGTTGTACGTAACGAATTCTGTGGAATGTATGGTAATTGATCTATATCGTCATCTATTATTGAGTCTTTTGATTCCGCCTCTAAATGCTCTTCCTGAAAAGTTGATTCTATTTCACTATTATCATTATTGTCCTTACTGGGTGCTACCTTTTGATCGGAATCTTCACGTCGAGGTATTATGCCAAGATCTATTTCTCCAATTCCATAATGCATTAAATTATAAGAACTACCTAACTCTTTTGTCCTATAGGCTAAGTGTGTGGAAGCGCCCATTAAAATGTTTGGCCTCAACTTTTCATCCTGGGAAAAGAAATTTACCATTAACTCTTCATAAATTCCCATTCCATTGGTCAACAAAACTATCGTACTTTCCGGTGATAACCGATAAAAGATTCTTTGGAATGCGCGCTTTACATCTTGTGCTTTCGTTGTCACTATAAGTCTCTGAATTTGTAAGTTTGGCGGACATGTACCGTAAAAAAAATGTTGATCGACTAAGTCGTCAACGTCAAAACCACGTAAAACTTCCGCTTCGTATTCTTTAGATTGTTCCGTATCACCATTTTGTTGAACCACGGTTATTGTCCTTTGACGTCTTTCAAATTGTGACAAAGAAACCGGCGTCCGAAGTAATAAAGTAACCGAGTGTTTGTTTTTTCGAAGATAGTGTGCAATCAAATTACCCAAGGTACCAGCAGCAAGAATATGAAATTTCATTACTCAATTTTTGAGCGAGAAAAAGGATTCGAACAATAACAGATTCCATCGCACTTTGCAATTGGTTGATAAAATGTAAAAAATACTTAATACCATAACTTATATCTGAATTAAATAATCTTGTATGACCTTCGTACACATCAAATTTCCAAATATAGAATAACTCAAATTTAAAATTCCAAAAAAAAAAAAAAAAAAAAAAAGCACCCTTAAGAAATGTCTCAACGTCAAAAGCTTCAAGGTTACGAATTTTATACGACAATTCTGAAAAATGCCAAATATTTCCTTGCCCCAATGGTGGATCAATCAGAATACGCGTGGCGGATTCTATCTCGCCGTTACGGAGCCCAAGTTTGCTACACTCCAATGATACATGCAAAAATGTTTTGCGATGAAAGCAACAAACAATACCAGAGTGATGTATGGTCTACAGGATCGGATGATCGGCCCTTAATCGTGCAGGTAAGCTTCAATTTTACTAAAATAAGTCTTGGTAATTCTGTTGTCAATAACTTATGTGTATCTGATTAGTTTTGCGCTAACGATCCGGAAGTATTGCTTAAAGCTGCTTTAAAGGTTCAGAATCAATGTGATGCGGTTGATCTAAATTTAGGTTGTCCACAACACATCGCCCGACGTGGTCACTATGGTGCTTTTTTGCAAGACGAATGGGATTTAATATACAAATTGAGTAAGTCCTAAATTTAAAAGTCAAATTAAAACGTAATATTAACATTGAATTAATGAAAAAATATAACTCAGTAAACACGCTCCATAGAAATCTAACGGTTCCTGTGACAGCCAAAATACGCATATTCCCAGATGTGGAGAAAACAATAAAATATGCAAAGATGATTGAGAGCGCGGGTGCACAATTAATAACTGTGCACGGTCGTGTTCGGGATCAGAAAGGTCATAAAACTGGATTGGCGGATTGGGAACAGATTCGAAGAGTCAAGTACGTATGTATTCTAGCAGAAAAGCATTGCAAAAAAACATTGCTAGATCACGTGATGGACAAGGTATTCTAATCCCGGTATTTCTTACGTTATAAGAGAAGAATTAAAAATACCGGTAATAGCCAACGGAAATATTCTCTATTTCGAAGACATTGAACGATGCATAAATGCTACTGGCGTTGATGGGGTTATGTCTGCAGAAGGCAACCTTTACAATCCAGCCTTTTTTTCAGGGACCAATCCACCAGTATGGAAGTTAGCAAGAGAATATCTAGACATTTGTAAATCTGTTCCCACTAAAATTTCCTACATACGGGCCCACCTCTTCAAGATTTACAGGCCAACGCTTCCTTTCCATGTAGACTTGAGGGAACAACTTAGCAAGGTCAATACTCTCGAAGAGTTATTTAAATTATCTGACGAACTTCAAAGTCGCCTAATGGTTAGTGATAATGAACAATGAACATATTTTACGCAATTATATATCATATATAACTAAAGTTACATTTATATTTATTTCATGCCAGAAAACACCATCTGAGTTCACTGAAAACACTGAAATACATAAAGATGAAAATGGATTTAAGATATTTCCTCATTGGATTTGTCAACCTAATCTCCGTGCCACAATGCCGGAAAGTATTAAACCAAACCCAAATAGTTTAGAAATTGTAGACAATAAATCATCGTCGCGAACCGAACATCATTCGAATGAGGATGCTTTAGACATATTCACCGATCTCGATCCATTGATGAAAATCAATGAACCAGAATTACATAATGGAACGAACAATTTATCAGACAAATATCCTCATACGACATCTGAAAAAACTCGGAATTCTGAAGACCTCGAGGCTGATTTAGCACTAGAGCGAAATTCGAAGAGATCTAACAAGAAAGGTAGTTAATATCTAAATTATTCTTTTTTTTTTTATTCTACATTTATTAAGTTTTATTATCAAATGAAATAAATTGATCAATCATTTTTGCACAGTGCATTAAATACTAACAAGATCACCTGGCAATATGAATTCCATTTTTTCAGTTAAGTGCCCCCCAAAACCAATATGCTTTCATTGCCAGAATATTGCCGCTCCGACATGCACCTATTTGTGTTGTAAACCGTGCTGTAATATCAATAATAAATTTAAGAATTGCCTTGCCCACTCAAAAAAAATTAAGAAAAAGAAAGATCCACAGAAAATATGTTAAGTAGCATATTAATTAGAATGACAAGTGTTTTTTCAACTCATAAAGAAGACATTATCAATTGCTCTTAGGTATCTATTACTCTATTTACCTGTGCTCTTTCGATTTTCAAGAACGTCTTTTATTTTAATGCGTTTTAATTAGACCGAAAAATTTTATTTATGAATAGAAATGTTAAAATCATTATTATTTATTCCGTATGTAAAATATTTTTGTTTATTTGAAATTGAAATAATTTTCAATAAAATAATAAATCTTGTTTTAAATTAAATTCGAATATATTAGTGATAAAAATTATCTTTTATTTTTTAATAAATGTAATGCACAGTATTTTTTATATTTATTTGTTTATATTTTAATTTGTGAAAAGATTAATACAATTTAAAAAACAGTATTATGATCAAAAGGATGAATTAAAATAATTTTTCAAATGATTTTGTTAAAAATTTAATTACATGAATTTCTTATACATATTGAAATATTGAACATATCGTTTACCCGAAATAAATATATTCATAAAAAAAAGTTTTTTGTTAATAATACTGTAGATATGTACTGTATATTATATCATATTTTTATGTGAATCGATATACCGTAAGTTGAACGAAATAACTTTATGTTATTATCGATTTAAATAAGAAAATTGGTTATCGATTGTGCAAGTTTAATACGTGATAATCGTTTTTTTTTTTTCGATTTTTCAATATTGGTTTACCTTACCTACACAAATATGTTATTCGAGAGTCAAAAATAACTTGTAGAATAGGGATGTAATATAACATAGCATCTGGATTAGTCAGAAAACTGCTTGTAGAATTTGACAAATTTGGATTGCGTGTGACACGAAAAAAACCAAAGATTAATAATTGATTTATCGTTATCTACTACGGATTAAGGTAATTATACATTTTCTATCAGGAGTTTGTTAATCTAATTAGAACACTTAAATAGAAATAATACAATTTGTCAATGTTAAGCTACGAACGGTTACATTGCTGTTGTAATTCTCTCTTATATTTCAGTATAATTACTAACACTGTTTTCGTGTATAACCTGATAAGATAATCTAACTGTCCGTCCTGTTTGGACGATAGCTATACATTCAAAATTCGAAACTTTCTTGGATTTGAACCTCTTTCTAGGATTGTTCGCGAATTCACTAATGCTGCTGTACAAAAAGAGACAAAAATCAAAGATTATATGGTAATGATATAATTAATTGACCAATTAATTAAACAGGCTATGAAACCTGCGTAAAAACAATGATTTATTTGACTTTAGAGTCTGACTAATCTACATAATTATCTGTGCGACCATCTTGGTTTCTGCATAATCAATTCGCATCGATTTTCTATAAAAGATCCTAGTACTGGATTGATCTTTTGAGAATTCCCTCATAAATTTATCATCCTCTTCCATCAATTATAAAAATGGTTTTGGCAAGTGAACTTAACGTTTGGAAGGTTCTTCAGAAGCATTATGAAGAAGAAGGAAAACACCTGATCATGAGAGATCTTTTCGCGCAAGATCCGAATCGATTTAATACCTTCTCACGTCAGTTCAAAGGCGAACGTACTGGTGCTTCAATTCTACTCGATTTCTCGAAGAATATCATCACCAATGATACGTTTAATGCCCTCATTGAACTCGCGCGTGAAGCTGATGTTGAAGGATTTAGGGATAAAATGTTTAGTGGGGAACACATAAATTTCACTGAAGATCGTGCCGTACTGCATATCGCTTTAAGAAACGTATCAAACACTCCAATTTGTGACAACGGTGTAGACGTCATGCCAGAAGTGAATGCAGTATTAAAACAAATGAAGGATGCTTCCGATGCTATTCGTAGTGGTGCATGGACCGGATACACCGGAAAAGCGATTACCGATATCGTTAATATTGGTATTGGTGGTTCTGACCTTGGTCCTGTCATGGTCACCGAAGCCTTGAAAGCATATGCTAAACCAGGATTGAATGCGCATTTCGTATCAAACATTGATGGCACGCATTTGGCTGAAACGTTGAAAAAAGTACAGCCCGATACTACGCTTTTCATCATTGCATCGAAAACTTTCACCACGCAAGAAACTATCACCAATGCTAATTCCGCAAGGAGATGGTTCCTTGAATTTGCAAAGGACGTATGTAATTGGCCTCACGAGTATGAAGATGTAAGAATTGCGTTAATTATTAATCGCTTATAATTCAAATTTTAGCAAGCACACATTGCCAAACATTTCGTTGCTATATCGACCAATGTCAAAGAAGTTACTGCCTTTGGAATTGATCCCGCAAATATGTTCAGATTTTGGGATTGGGTTGGTGGCCGCTACTCTTTATGGTCTGGTATGTACGAATGTTATGCCACCTTGAATCGTCATGCGAAGTATACTTATGAGTCGTGTTTGTCATGTGTGCCTGAAAACTTTAAGCCATCGGCCTCTCAATTGCGATCAGCATTGGATTTGATAACTTCCACGAGATTCTCTCTGGTGCACACGACATGGATAATCATTTCAAGAATACCCCACTGGATCAAAACTTGCCGGTTATCTTAGGCGTTTTAGGAGTTTGGTACAACAATTTCTTTGGACATCAAACGCACGCAATATTACCCTACGACCAATATCTTCATCGGTTTCCAGCATATTTTCAACAAGTCAGTTTTGTTTTTGTTTTTTTTTTCGACGCTTCACATGAGACCTTATTTGACCACGCGTTTTCTTAGGGAGACATGGAATCCAATGGTAAATACGTCTCACGATCAGGAAAAACCGTCGATTACCAAACTGGTCCTATAATTTGGGGTGAGCCAGGTACCAACGGTCAACATGCATTCTATCAGTTGATTCATCAAGGCGTAAAAGTTGTTCCGGCTGACTTTTTGGCTCCCATCGAAACCCATAACCCAATTTCTGATGGCTTACACCACGAGATCCTTCTCTCGAATTTCTTTGCTCAGACAGAAGCTTTGATGGTCGGAAAAAACATTGGAGAAGTACTATCGGAATTGAAGGATGAGCCAAAAAAAGAACTAATAGCACCTCATAAAGTTTTTCTTGGGAATCGTCCGACGAATAGCATTATGGTCCAGAAAATAACTCCAGGAACGCTTGGTGCGCTAATTGCTTTATATGAACACAAAATCTTTGTGCAAGGCATTATTTGGAACATCAACTCTTTTGACCAATGGGGTAAAATAAGTTTATAAAAATAATTTCAATTTTTTTTTCCACAAAAGTTACATCACGTTAATTTACTTTCTACCATGGCAAATTTTCTTTTAGGTGTCGAACTTGGCAAGGTCCTTGCGAAGAAGATTTTGCCAGAGTTAAAGAATAAGGATGCTACCCCAGTTTCCTCACACGACTCCAGTACTAACGGGCTTATCAATTTCTATAAAGCAAATAGAAACTGCTGAAAAATGTTTGAGTTCTTTGTTGAAAGTGTCTAAAATATCACTATGACAACTATAAGAGTAACATTTTACTGTGTAAATTCTGTACAAAAATTTAAATTAATGTCATATTAAATGTCAATGTTGTTATCTAAAATCATTTTTCCGTTGAAACAATAATGGAATATTTTAAAGACACCTCTGATCCATAATTTATTTTGATCCGGTCGACAGCTCCCATAGATAATTTGCAATAAAGTATTGTGTATGCCTATCGTCAACCATTACTGTATGAATATCGTTTGGTCCCTCTATTTAGTTTAAAATTATCTCAATGTAAGGATCCAATTCTAACTAGCAATCATCAAATATTAAAATCGAGGCAGTATGAAAAGTGAAAAAAGTTACCTATTCTTGCTTTCAATTTGTGCGTACTTGGATCTTCAATGAACTGAATACCCAAGGAACGATAAATATGAAGCTGGAGACTAAATAATATTGAAATAATATTGGCACGCTAATCGCAGTAAAAATTACACTCGAGTCAAATGGAAAAGGACCCACGAAGTAGCATCGTTTTGAGGCAAAACGACATCCTCGACAACTGTATTCTCCAATTCTTCTAATTCGTTTTGTAAAGTTTCAAGCGACTCTTCAAGAGCAGTGAAGACGAAAATTTCGAATGGTCAAGGTACTTTAATAAGCAAATTGTATATCAAACTATATTTTTATTTAAGTACATCACACAAAGAAAAGGATATTTTGTCTCTTCAGTCAAGCTAGCGATTGATTTGTCCAAATTAAATTTTTCTCTCTCGTGTTTTGTGATCATATCTTGGAAATCTCTTTCGTCCTGCTCGGCTGGCCTCTTCATACTATTCTTGAGAGTTTTCAACTTTCTGTTTAAGGCTTATGATAACATAAGAACGTACGTGATGCTTAACAGGATAGTCGAATGACGCGTTGATTGATATAAAGTAATAAATTTTTGACAAAACAAACCTAATTTTTACCTTTTAGTTCGTTCTTCGTCTGTTCACTCTTCTTACTCATGATGTCCTCGATCTTTCGAACATTCTCCTGAATCTCTCGGATAGTTTCGATATCCTCATTCGAACTGAATTTCTTTTTAAGACTAATGATCTCTGAGACTATGTTTTGAGAAGTTATTTTTTGCCTTTCCATTTTTCGTCTTGGATACCTATCAGTTTCTAACTATTATATATAAAATAGACCGGCGATGGTAAATTAATTAAACGCGCTCTATTGAAATGCAGGTGGTAGATCCTATTTTTTCGCGTATATATACTATATATGGCTTAGTAAATATTATTTACATTTTATTTAGTTTTTATTATATAACTGATAATAGTTAATTTCTACTTTAAAACTAAAACAATAATACGTAATTTATATAATTTTTTTTTTTTTTTCTTTTTTTTTTTTTTTCATCAAGCTATGAGTTTTTTTTTGTTTTTTTT